GAGCGATATTTGTAAACTATTCATCTTAATGATCATTTCAACATTTAATGCATCATTAACCAACATTTAATAATGCATTTTTAAATAATGCACTGTAAAATAAAGTAGCATGCACAATTTTATTACCAATAATCCAGTGACCTGCAAAACAGCAGTTTTGTAAAAACGACTCGGTACGGAGTAACTTTGATTCAATGCTTTAATTGCAAAAAAAAAAATAATTATGCAAACAATCATCACATGATACAAACCCAGAAGAAGAAGAAAAATAATGGCATGGGGAGATTCCAGAAAGAAACATTTTAAAATCGCAGCCTTTTATTCAAATCATAAAAAAAAATAATAAAAGTCAATGTCTACGCAATGGACCAGATTAATCACAAACAACACATCTTTAGTCTGTTGCCTCGTGTCAATAATCCCGAAGGATAAACGGGTTATTCATCTTCAGATCTTTCACAATCATAACCACATCTGTAAGCATCTACAGCATCATCCACGTGATCATTAACATATCCGCAAGCTCTCCGTGAACCGAACGGTGAACGAGGCCATTCGGGTTCCTACAATGGAATGTAAATTACTAAATTAAGAAAGAAACGGGGTGGTGTCGGTGGAGAGGCAGCCGCTCATCGATAGTGGCGCGGCGGAGGGCTGTGATCCTGGAGCGGGGCTCGTCGGGAGGGTGGGCTATGGCGGGTCATGTGACGCGGGGGTGATCGGTAACGGGGCGGCGGTGACCCTCTGCTCTGGTACGGGGGTGAGTATCGTCCTCGAGACCTGGAGCGGGAGCGGGAGCGACCCCAGCTTGTGCCCCGCTCCTCCATCACTCTGATGTAGGACGTCTCTCCCTGCGCCACAAACAATGAACTTTGATGAACGAACACTGATATTCAGAAACACAGACATCAACAAGCCACTGATTCATGAGACGCTGGACAAAAACATGACTTCAGAATTTTTATGAATGTGTGACCCAGGAGCACAAAAGCAGTCATAAGGGTCAATTTTTCAAAATTGAGATGTATGCATCATCTGAAAGCTGAATAAATAGCTT